GAAAGAATCACACCACTAGATGGCCATCCAAGTCCACAGTCTGCAACCAAGAAAGCAGATTTACATTCAAAGCATGACAGTTTAGGATATTACAGAACTTCAAATTGTTGAAGGCCATTTTAATGTTTTTTTTTCTTTTTTTTTTCTAATCTCGTTCTAATTCTTAACATCTTCCACAACATTTTCTAGTGTTGTGCATCTACCAATCATTGTTCACCATATCTCTATTTTAACCCAAACATACACAGGCTTTATACATGCATCACAAATGAGATGCAATTAACTGTCAATAAAAATACATTTTAATGATCATTTAGATTGTGTGTGAGAGATTTTGCCTACATTGTATCCCTTTAATGATGGTAAAATACGAAAAAAAATCTCTTAAAACCTAAAAATACGAAACGTTTGTGTGAGGGTTACGTTTAGGGATAGAGGAAGAGAATCGAAAATAATATTAGCCTAACTTAATCAGATATAGATTATGAGGGAACTCAATTTCGACCCTTCTACAATAAAAATATGATTAACAAATGACTAATTAAGTCATTTTTGCTATATCAGATGCAATGACCGCCTCGTGTGAGATGTACAGCAAACAAAACAGGCCACAGACGGATTTTAAGGTTAAATCTGTCGAGTGTTTTTCCACACTTCCAACAGGTGTGTCGTTCCGCGCTGTTCACTGGACGATAGGTGGCGCTATCAGACCGCGGGAACGCAGCGTCGAGTGTTTTTCCACACTTCCAACAGGTGTGTCGTTCCGCGCTGTTCACTGGACGATAGGTGGCGCTATCAGACCGCGGAAACGCAGCGTCGGTTGCTCGTGACTAGGTATTTCCCAAATAAGTCACTTCAGCTCCTCACGCGAGCTCGCTGAGAGAGATAAAGTGACTGAATAAGAAACCTTCTCTTTATGATTCTGATCGTGTTACCGACGTGCTTTGCTTTTGGTGTTTAACAAGACCGGAACGATTAAAGAGCAGCACGACCCCACAGACGGGACGCAACAGTAGGTGTCTGATAGCGATCGGCTATTTTTGTAAGACGCGATAAATCGATGGACCAATCAAGAGGTGGGCAAATAGGCTGGAACAACAAAAGTACGATATCAAACAATATGTTAATGGTACTGCAGTGAGCAGGTGGGGCAATGGCTCTATTGGATGGAGTGGAAAACCAGCACAAACAAGAAGTCGACTAATTCTTTGCATTAACGACGGTGCCACTTTAATACAGCCCAGATCCTTAACTAGCAGGTCACTTGAGTTTTCACAAAGCTCTCTGTTGTTGTTGTTTTTTTTAATAAATAATACAGCGCAAGCAGTGTAGTGTTGTGCGATTTTCGAAAGATGGACTCAAATGTGTCGGTTCTTTTTAGTAAATCGTAATAAAAAACAGCGTGATCGCGATCAGTGTAGACGAATTTCTAATTAAATGACTCATGTGAACCGATTCTTTTAAGTGTCTTAAAAGCAATTTAAATAAAAGCGAATGACTCTTATGAATCGGTTCTTTTTCGTTTTTTAAAAGCATACAGCGTGATCAGTGTAGCCTGATTCCTGAGCGAATGACTCTTATAAACTGATTTTTTTCTAGGGAATTAAAAGCATACAGTGTGACCAGTGAAGTTCGATTCCAGAGCAAATTTAATTTAAGAATTTACTAAGAACTATTTTTTTAATCAATTAAACGCATTCAGCTTGACCAGTGTAGTCCTATTCCTGAGTAAATTACTCTTATGAACCGATTCTTTTTAGTGAATTAAAAACACACAAGGTGAACAGTGTTGTCCGATTCCCGAGTGAATGAGTTTCATAAACCGATTCTTTTTAGTGAATCAAAAGCATTCAACATGACCAGTGTAGTCCGATTCCCAAACAAATTACTCTGATAAGGTTCTTTTTAAGGGAACACTTAATGAATCAGTCGTAGCGGTTACTGAATGAACGATAAGAGCTGTTATTGTTTTTATGTTGTAGTTAGGCTTGTCGCAATAATCAATATATCGACTTATCGCGCAATTTTTTTAAGGTATTTTATATTTTGATACTTAATTTCCATGATCTAAATATTCTTAAAAATTAAAAGTTTGTTGTCATTTGGAAGTGTGTAGGCCTTCTTGCATTACTATTATGATTATACATTCAGTGGCATAAAATGGTCTTTAATATGACAATAATATCGCTTATCGCAATTATTTCTGGGGCAATATATCGCACAACAAAAAGTTGTTATCGTGACAGGCCTAGTTGTAGTAACTGACTGATTGTTCATATAGTTAAACATACACATTATGCGTTCTCTTGTAATCAGTGGTATTGTATACAAATAAATGTTTTATTGGTTTACATTTTTAGTTTAATGTATGTTTAGAACCAATTACTGGTTTGTATTTATGCCGCCTCTTAAAAATCTGTATAAACGCAGCTTTTTCAAGAACTGCACTGCATTTATTTCTGATTTGTTATGTTTGTACTGATGAAATCTGAAATTATCTCATCATTTGGCAACGGACCAACCAAAGCGAGTAAACACGATAAGAATAGCATTTCTTATGTCTAAATGTTCCTTCCTCAATGTTTCTGCTTGAAAAGTAGAACCATTAATGGAACGATTAAGTAATGGTTTGTGAATCAGAATCACAACCAGAATGGTTCAGTTCTTAATGAAGCACACAATACATATTCATTTGTTCGCAGTGTTGTTCTGCAGCAGAAGTTGAGTTGTTGCACCTTGCACAGACACGCGACACAAGGATGGCTGAAGAACTGCAAGAAAAGAACGCTATCCTCTTTTTCATGAAAGACTACCATCCGCCCCCTCATGTACAATGCCTGGAATAGTAACAGCACTGCCAGGCTTACTAAATATAGCAACCAGTGAGTGTTAACATGTCAACTAGGAACCCGAAAGAAGTGGTTTCCACATGTGTGGCTGTTGTGGCTACACATAATACTATAAATAGATTAATAGCCTATGCAACATGTATTCAATGACTTATAACCCTCGATCAAATTGTTGCACATCAATGTCGGTTAACCCTGCCCATGTTGACCATAAATACATTTGAATACCTTTCTCTCTTTTGTGCAGGCTTGTTATAGGCTATGTATGTGAATGGAGACAAGGGGCAGGATGAAACGTGAAGGATCATGCGCTGTGGGCAAAGCAGCAGCTGAGAGATGCAAACAAGGCAGGACCCTTCAGGTTTTAGTTTGCTTTTCTGACATTTGGTGCATCCAGGAAGTTTAGGTCCCAACTAACTTTTGAATGAATGAATTAGAAGAATGGGGTAATGAATGAATAAATGGCAGAGAACTTAATGGATATGGAGAGGATGTGCACATGAAAGCCCGGTCTGACTTTCTTTCTAACATGTTACTCAGGAGGAACATCATTTGACAGCTTGCCCGTTCATAAATATTCACCGTCTCTATTCATGCAGACCCTTCTCTTGAGGTAGTCATTGTGCCTCGGCTCTGAACCATGTGATTCTGATGGGAGGGGGAGATTCTATAAATAGCTCTATAGCTCGGCTTCCATTCTATCATATTAATACTGAAATTATAATAATATATCATTATAATATGTTATATGTTAATATTATATCATTTTTCATGATTTCTTTTATTTTTGCTCTTTTTGCAGGTTTGTGATTTTCACTTTATACCAGCAACTCTTGGAGTGGCACTCCTGGCAGAACACTGATGTATTTTAAGGGAAACATGATGACAAATGTTATATTTACGCCCTTGATCTAAATATTTACCTATTTTACCCCCCCCACACACACACACAACTCGTCACCGCCCGCTCATTCACGATCCTCCCATTTTAGCAGCAGGAGTCCGACAACACTCCGGAACATCCCGTTTCGCGAAGGTAGGATTATCCCTGCACATCGCAGTACATCGCGTTGTTTTATGAATAGGAGCTTGTGTTCATTCATACACTTGTAGCTAACATGTCAGGGCGATGAAATTGTGTCTTCATGTGTTCAATATAGTATAAACAGCCTTTGCGTGCATGAAATGTATTTAAAGTTCGTGTCTGTCGGGAAAACTGCATAAAGCTTGATGCTATAGTAGAGTCTATATTTCAGCACCACGGACAGAGACACTTGAATCGCAAAAACATAAACTTCGCGTGACTTGTGCCATGTTTTGAACATTACAATAAGTAATTTAATAAATAACGACACAAAGAGTAAAATACTATTTTAAGAAGATTTTCAAATCAGTTTTAAGTGGACTGCCACTAGTTTTAGCAGCTGTCGAATGGAGTTTGGCGACACCCTGCGGCAAGACGCGCGAATTTTTTCTCCCTTATGTTTCTACCGCACTGGCCAAATTAGTGTTCTTTGTGTTCTGCACGTTCACTTTTAGTGTCATGCTTTGCAATTCGACAGGTTTAGAAGCCACAGTCTTTCTGTGACTATTGCGCGGTCGTTTGTAACATCGCATTGACTTAAAGCTTATATTGAAAATATTACACACACCTCTTCATATAAACGAGGCAACCCCAGCAACACCAACTTTTCCACGCGTCTCCCTTAATGATCTCCTTAAACATTGTACGCAAAAGAACCCCAACATGTGCAAAGCAACTACCGGGCTTAAAGATCATATATAGGCTAGTGGTGCGCATCTGCCGCGGAATCCATTGGCAGATGAGTTTTTCACGATGCCTGGCGACTGTAAGGAGTGGTTTCGCTCTGGGAAACCGGGGTTGTGGTCACTTGCAGCGCGGACACTGTCCGTCTTTCACCTATTCCCCGAGCCATTTTCATTAGTGCGAGGCTGTCTGCGAGCACAACCGGGACGGTTGTAATCAGCAGCCATAGACTGTGAAGTGGGAGAACCTAAACGTGACGTCAATGCCTAGTAACTGACGCAGCCTAAAAAAAGAGAGAGAGAGAGAGAGAGAGAGAGAGATTCTGCAAGCGTTAATTATCATCGTTTGTGTACTGCTCTAAAGACAAAACATATTCCGCTCGCAGTGCGACTGATTATGATTCTTTGCGCGCACGGGTCCGTCTGTGTGTCTCTGTGTGAGTGAGTGAGTGAGTGCGTGCGTGCGTGTGTTTTTTTATGAGCAGCGAATCCGTCCCGAGTTTCCAAGCTAAAGTTGCATGGAGACACGCCGCGTAAGACGCGTATAATAAAGAGGATGGTGAGCAACATAAAGGAACGAGGAGAGCGAGAACAACTTCTGCTGAGAAAGCGAACCTTTAAGAAATATTTAGCCCATAAGAGAGAGGGGCACTGAAGCAGTTCGTTTGAAAAAAAATCACTGCAGCGATGAATCGGAGGCGAGTCAGATGGAGTTGGAGAGGCAAAATTAATGTACATTACATGCACTCCACGTAACGCTCCTGAGCGATGTCTTTGTGAGTGTTTTTTTTTCTTACTGGGGGCTAAAAATAGCATCAGTGTTTGATCGTGATCCAGAAATAGGCAGAGGGTATCACTTGTATAAAAAGGACTGCGATTCTGAGAAAACTTGGACGTGTTGCTAAGGATAGATATGAATCAAGCGCAGTATTTGATTTTCATCTTGCTTGTTGTTTTTGGTCACGTATGATGGTTTTATACTCATGTCTGTGTTTTCACTGCTTTCAGTCAGGGCTTCCTGCACTGGTAAGTACACATTCGCGACGATTTCTTTGGTTTGATGACATGTTTATTTGATTTTTTGCACGATTTCTTGCATGCATCGAGTAACGTGCCATTCCCTCCACCGACCATTTGTTTCACGCATACTGTGTGCACTTCTCAAACAGGTGTTTTGTTTTAATCCATTTGTTAAAAATGAAATAAACCACTCTCTCTTCATACCAGGAATCTCGCGAATGGTAAATAAGTGAAATCCAAATCCAAACTCCTTTGTCTGACGGCGCTGTTGAGTCGTTTTTTGCCTCTTCGCTACAGCTGAGAGTGAATGGAAACCGATAACACTAGAAGAGTGAGGGGACATATTTCTCAAAATATGTGAAGAGGAAAATAGGCTAATAAATATAGGTGGAAGACGCCGCGCCAAAAGGAAAATCACCAGCAACAGCCGACGAGGGAAGCCCTGGTGTGGCGTCAAGGGGTTCCGTGCATCCAAAATCGCCCTTAAATGGTCAGCCCTGTTTTGGCCATCACCCGAGAAAGGGATGCCACTCGGCACACGTTCTCAAAATACAGCTTAAGGGTTTTTTGTTTGTTTTTGTTTTTTTGTTTGTTTTGTTTTTGTTTTTTGTGCAATGTTCCCGCGTGCGTTGTTTGAACACTTCCATCAGATCGAGACTGCTCGAGACTGTAGCTATAGGCGGATTCACATGGATTACTCTTCCGCCCACGTCATTTTCATTATACAGTACTGCAATCGACTGTTTTCTATTGCTGTGGACTATAATACTGGTTTTGTGCCAAAACTAACGCGTTTGTGCAGTTGCGCAAAACAATCACGTTGTGATCGCCAGTGTTGTTTTAATCAAAGCATCTCTTAATAAATGTCTAATTTCAATCCTGCAGCGTGCATAATTGCCTTAAGCGTTCGCAGACAGTATATTTCGAATTGTTTCAGAGGGTTTAAATGGTCATGT